GCTGCTATAGCCCTTGAGCTGGAGCCGAGGTGGTGCCTTGCTCAGCAATAAGCGCCTTTGTAAGCCACCCATTGTCCTATGGAAAAGCCAAGGTTGGAGAACATCATTACATACTTTTCTCTGTCACAGTGGATCCTTGGTCCCCAGATGCAGCCTCCTGTGTGTTCCTGGCCCATTATATACTCGCCTGAAACATTCCTCTCTTACTAGTCACTTACCACTGTGGGCAGGCCTTGCAGAGAAGGCTTGTTGGTGCCCAGCCAGCTTGAGCTGGCCATAGTCCCTTACCCTCACCTTTTCTATCCACCTTTATTTACAGCTCCTGGCTATTATCGAGAGTTATAGATGATTGTTCTGAATTATTGTTTACAAATTTTACCCAACATAAAGTGAATTCTGATTTGCTTTTGGAATTATCCTTCATCCACAATTAAGTCCAAATGTATTTATACTATGTGATATTACAGGACTTTCCTAATGACTAGGAGGTGCTGAGCCAAGATGTTTGTTTAAAAAGGGGGGGCGTGGTTAGGTCACATATAACATCCATTTCTTTTCCTTCAGTTGAGTAAGCTGGTCCTACTACAGCAAGGCTGCTGACTGCTGCCATGCTGTGCAGACCAGGCCACTACATGTAGCCCAGTTCCAGGTCCTGGCACCCTGCTGGACACCCAACCTGAGATGACACCTGCCATCTTGACAGAAGTAGAGAGAGTGCTCCATTCTGCTCCATTCTCCAAAGCAGTGCAGGCTTGGCTTGCTGACAGCTGAAGCAGGGGCTCCCTGGGTTGGTGTTGGGGCTGGAATCATATCCTAAGCTGAGAATGAGAAGCAGGACCTACTCCAGAGTGGCAATAGCTCTGATAGCTTGACAAGTGTCATTACAAAAACACGAAAAGACTTTAAGCTAGGAAATGACATTTGAGGGTATGGAGGACACCATCACCTGATAGAGATATCCTGTCACTGTACAAGAGGAGGAGTTGGTCCAAATCCTAAGCCACATGTGTCACAACAGTTTTCACCTTCAGTAGCTTTTATACTCATATAAATATTAAAGTTACCCCTTTCATATTTAGGTCATTTCAAGAGCCCCTCTTACTCTGGGTTCCTGCTAACTATGCACAACATCTCAGAAGATGGCATACAAAACTATTTTTATAACTATAGCACAGGTAATTTGGGGCAGGGGAAGTTTTGGATATACCTAAATGTGGTAAATGACTTATCTTCCACCCTGATGGATGAAAGGGAAACTATGCACTTGAATTTTAATTCACCACTGGATAGTTTGTGCCAGAAAGAACACACACCAAATGTTCAAAATTGAAATTATTAAAAAGCAAAATTGATTATTAGCTCAATTTGGGGGCTTACTGTAGGGAAGAGTTACCTTGTCTAGAACACAAAACACAAGTAGAATGTGAGCTGATTTTTGACAATCAGATCTCATCAAGCCTTTGAAATGTTCTGGACAGCACAACTCCTGGGTCCACCACATGGTTTCTGTAAGTATAATTAAGTTGTGAAATTTTACGGTATATATCTATATGCTAATAGTGTATACCTGTATGTGCAAAATTTGCTAATATAACCATTTCAATAAAAATCTATTGAAAAAGTTGATTTGGTAGTACTTTTGGTGGTAACACAGGGACTCTTTCAGTTACAAATGACAGAAAACCTAGCCAAAACTGACTAAACTTACCACTACTGGAAATGTGGTGGCTCCCCAAAGGATGTGCCTGTGTCAGGTATGATGTGATTTCACCCTCAAAGATTGACACAGGACACATTTGATAACTTCCTCTTAGTAAACGCCATTCTCAGGCTCAGAGAGAATAGCTATGCTACTTTCCCCGGAGATGTCTCAGAAAGGCATCTTCTTGGCCCTGATTGACTTGTTTGGAGGTATGTGGCCATCACCAGACCAACCACTGGGATGACAGAGGCACCAGTTCCCTCAATCAGCATGAGCTCCACTTCTGCAGCCCAGGAGTGCATTTGACTTCACCTGAATGACCGGAGCTAAGAATTCTAAGACATGGTTCCCACAGCAAAACGATGATAGTGCACAGAAGGGAAGTGGGTGTGGCGGGCGAATGCAGTAAATGCCCCATATATATTGGAAAAACCTAGGGCCACAGCAGTCTGAACATTAGTCCTACATTTCCACATATTAATGTGAACTTGGCAAATCATTTCATCTGCCTGGATTTTAGTTTTATCATCTCTGAAGTAGAGAACATAAAATACCTACCTCATAGGATTGATGTGTAGGGATTAGATTTAAAATAATGTTAGGAATAGGTTAACACTGTATATCTAGTATCTGAACATAAAAGAACTCTTATAACTCAATAATAAAAAACAATCCTGGCTTGGCATCCATGGCACAGTGATTACAGCGGCAGCCGCATGCACTGAGGGTGGCGGGTTTGAACCCACCCGGGGCTGCTAAAACAATAATAACAACTGCAACAACAACAAAATAGCCAGGTGTGTGGTGGCCGCCTGTTGTCCCAGCTACTCGGTAGGCTGAGGAAAGAGAATCACTTAAGCCTAAGAGTCTGAGATTGCTGTGAGCTGTGACGCCACGGTATTCTACTAAGGGCAACATAACAAGACTGTCTAAAAAAAAAAAAAAAAGGCAACCCAATTTTAAAAAGGGGCAAAGGATATGAACAGATATTTCTTCAAAGAAAAAACGGAAATGACTAATAATCACATGAAAAGATACTGTACATTGCTGTCACTAGAGAAATATAAATCCAAACCACAGTAAGGTACCACTTTATGCCTTCAAGAAATGGCTATTATAGGGTGCAGTGACTCACGCCTGTAATTCTAGCACTCTGGGAGGCTGAGGCAAGCAGATTGCTTGAGCTCAGGAGTTCGAGACAAGTCTGTGCAAGAGCAAGACCCTATCTCTACGAAAAGTAGAAAAACTAGTGAGGTGTTGTGGCAGATGCCTGTAGTCCCAGCTTCTCAAGAGGCAGTGGCAAAGAGGATCGTTTGAGCCCAGGACTTTGAGGTTGCTGTGAGCTATGATGCCACAGCACTTTACTGAGGTCATCAAAATGCAGCTCTATCTCAAAAAAAGAAATGGCTGTTATTAAAAAACAGGGAAAATATGGAGAAACTGGAGCTTTCATACATTGCTGGTGGGAATATGAGGTGATATAGCTGGCATGGAGAAGTTTCATGGTTGCCTAAGAAGTTAAATTTAGCTTTAGTCTATGACCCAACAATGACTACTCCTAAGGATATGCCCAAAAGAATTAAAAACACAAAAATCTACACAATATTCATGGCAGCTAAAAAGGAGAAATGAACCAAATGTTCATTAACTGGTGAATGAATCAACAAAATGTTGCATATCCATACCATGAAATATTATTCAGCCTTAAAAAGGAATGAAGTAGGCTCGGCGCCTGTGGCTCAAGTGGCTGGGGCGCCAGCCACATACACCTAAGGTGGCAGGTTCGAATCCAGCCCAGGCCTGCCAAACAACAATGATGGCTGCAACCATAGGATGGCCGGGCATTGTGGCGGGTGCCTGTAGTCTCAGCTACTTGGGAGGCTGAGGCAGGAGACTCGCTTGAGCCCAGGAGTTAGAGGTTGCTGTGAGCTGTGAGGCCATGGCACTCTACCCAGGGTGACAGCTTGAGGCTCTGTCTCCAAAAAAAAAAAAAAAAAAGGAATGAAGTAGCTGTACATACATGCATGAAAGACAACACACACAAATGGCTTCATATTGCACAATTCCATCTGTATGAAACGTCCAGAATGAGCAAAATCTATACAGCCAGAATTAGAGTGGTGGTTGCCAGGCAATGAAGGGAAGGGGGAATGGAGAGTTACTCTAATAGGTAGAGGGGTTCTTTAACATGTGTTTTAATCAGCGCTCTAGGTAATCCTAATGTGTGTCCAAGTTTTAGAATCGCTGGATGAAGACCAAAATAGTCCTTTTTCTCCTCTCGGGATTTTAACAAGCACAATACTTCCAAATTCTTGAGGGCAGATTTCTCTCTAGAGAGCACAATGACAAGATCAATTTAAGCTCCCTGAGTTCAAAAGAAAACCTGCATCTTGAAAGTTGATTTAGAGTCTCAAGCTGCATCTTGGAAGACTGTCAGCCATGTCTACCTATTTCTATCATACTAAGATTCTGTAATGCCAGTCACAGAAATCCAGCGGAAATTCGCTCCAGCCTCTAAGGATGATTGGAATATGTCCCCTTCTGCCCTCCTGCCAGATGCTTGTGGTGGCTCAGGCCAGCAAGGTGACCCCACAAGCCAACTGGCCCAAGAAAAATAGGGATGTAGGCCTGATAGTCCAGGAGTTAAAAGACCCCTTCACCCAGGTCAGTGTCTTAGCTGCGAGGCTCTGCACCCAGCAGGAGGGCAGGGACCTGCTTCCGTTCTGTCTGCCCCAAGCCTAGGCAGAAAGTTCCCCCTGGGGTCCCAGGAAGGCCCAGAACGCCGCTTGCTTTTGTGGGCTCTGGAAGATTATTCTAGCCTTATTAGACCCAGAATTCTGAGTTCTCCCAAAATCCCAGTCTTTCTTCAGAAGCCTTTTGCAATGTTAATGTGCACTGGGTTCCACTGTAATCAGCCAAAAGTATATCTCCAAACGTTACTTCTTTACTCCCACACTCTGGGCAGGTTTTCGCAGACGCCAGAGGCCCTGCTCTGCACAACCATCTCCCTCGGTCTGCAGACTGGACCGTGCCATTCTGGACGGAAGCCTGCGGCCCCGAGCTGGAGACAAAGCCGTAGCGCTGAGGCCGCCGACCGGGAGGTCGGGGGCAGACGGCTCGGCCCGGTCTGGCCGAGGCCAGCTTACCCGCGGGCCCAGGGCGAAGCGGGGCCGGCCGGGAAAAGGCCTGCGTGACCGGGCAGCCGGGGCCGACTGCAGCGAGCGCCAGGGTCCGCCAGGGGGCGCGGCCGCCCGCTCGGCCCCGCCCCGCCCGCCCGCTCGGCTCAGGCGAGGCGACCGCGGCGGCGCTTCCGCCTCGCGGGTCCGGGCCGGGTGCGAGCGGCCCCGCGATGTGGCTGAGTCCGGAGGAGGTGCTGGTGGCCAACGCACTGTGGGTGACGGAGCGGGCCAACCCCTTCTTCGTGCTGCAGCGGCGCCGGGGCCACGGCAAGGGCGGCGGCCTTACGGGTGAGAGGCGCGGGCGGCCAGGCCTGCGGGCGCCACGGCGGGCCAGGTCAGGCAGGGAGGGCGCGGCGGCCGGGTGGACCGGCTGGAACAGGCCCGGCCTCGGTGCGTCGGCACGGACACGCTCGTCAGCTCGCGCCGGGGGGGCCGGAGGCGGGGACGTGGGAGGTGACGACGGGGCGGGCGGGAGTGAAGACGCTCCGGGGTCGCGCTGGCTGAGGAGGGTCTGGGAGGGAAATGCGAGCTTGTCAGTCCCAGTAGGTCGACTCAGGGTGGCCTCTGCCGAGGCGTGTGCAGCCCTGGAGTGGGATCCCACAGCTGGAGTTAGCCAGCTCTCCCATCCTCTTCCACCACCTCAGTTTCCCCTAGTGCCTCTCAGGGGTCATGTGACACAAGCACACATTTCCTTTCCTCCCTCCGTTCCCAAATCACCAAAGAATTGCCCTTTTAACCAGATCAGAGGACCCCGTAGCTGGCCGCAGCCCCCATTCCTCCAGCCTCTTCTCCACTTTTCCTGCCCCTGGTGTTCTCAGAGCTACCACCCTAAGCTTTTGAGCACCAGCATAGGGTGTTCTGGAGATGGAGACCCAGCCAAGGTACCCCTTTGTGCGTCGGGGCCCAACCTCTTACACAGGGTGAGGCTAGGGAAGCACCCCTGAAGCTGTGTGGCACATGAGATCCCAGGCAAGGCCATTGGACCTCCACCACAGGTGTGGTCACAGGCCCCAGACCCAGGGCCTGTGTGGGTAAGCAGGAGCACGCTGGCCCAGGCTCAGGGGACACCAGGGGATATGCTCCTGGAGGAAGTGACTGTTTCTTTACAGGAGTGAGTGCCCAATGTTGCCACATCTTCCAATTTATCAAGATGATTTGCTCTGATGTGTCCTGATTTCCAATATTAAAGCTAATATAGTCTTGCCAGATACAGGCAGAGGCTTTCCATGGGTGACTTCTGCCACCAGCTTCCTGGGCCACACCTCTTAATGTGGAAGAGACTATACCATTTCTAAGAAAACACAGTGTTCCCTTCAGTGATTCAGACTCTTTCCAACTGATCAGGTTGTTCAGTTGGAGTTAGCAGCCCCTTTGGGGAGTTGCGTGATCAACCTCAGAGCTACTGCAAGCCCACTGAGGAACACCAGGAGCAGGACAACCAGCACATCTAGTTACACCATTGTTCCAGTGTATCAGATCTGGCTGGTATGCTGGTGGGTAGGTGGCCACAGGTGCACCTGACTGCTGTTCACCTCCTTCTTGAGCCATGAAGGACTTCCTGCAGGCTCTTCTCCTTTCCCCCTCATATTTCTGCCCCCCAAGACTGAACTTCCAGGGTACTCTCAGGGATCCATTCCTTGAAAACCCCTAACCTCTACCTAGGTTTGATATATCCTGCTGTGGCCTCTGTCATGGCCTTCCTTGCGCCATCATAGACATTGTGGCCTCCTAAGCACTGTCCTAGAAGAGGAATAGTCAATGATGTTGCTTTTTTAGTCAAGCCAGCTTTTAAAAACATGCCAACCTGGACTTTTCATTAAAGAGTCTTAGTGTGAGGAGATGGTCGGCCCATTCACAAGCTTTTAGGTCTCAAGACAGGGTTTCACCAAGAGTTTAAAGACTGCAATGAAATTTTCAAGACCAGAAGGAAACTCTAACATGAACAATAAAAAAAGATCTATTCCAAACACTGATAAAGCCCAAATATGCGCTTTTAACTACAACTTAGATATTTTAGAACATTTCAGTAAAACAAGTGAGAAATTACTAGCTTCTGATTTGGATGTCTGAAAAGAATACCTTTTTAAATGATCATTTTATTTCTTAAATACTGGATAAAAATCAGATTACAAATTGTTGGACTATGAAAAAAAGTGTTAAAATTGAGCATTAAAATGAATTGAAATTGTTTCAGTGTCAACAAATGTTTTTTGTTTTTTTTATTAAATGGTAACTATGTACATTAATGCAATTCTGGGGTACAGTGTGGTATTTTCACATAGTGTCAACAAATGTTAACAAAATATTTTCAAATTATACCAAAAGCAGCTCTTCATTAATAGGAAGAAAATAGGCTTGGCGCCTGTGGCTCAAGTGGCTAAGGCGCCAGCCACATACACCTGAGCTGGTGGGTTTGAATCCAGCCCGGGCCCCCCAAACAACAATGACAGCTGCAACCAAAAAATAGCCAGGACTTGTGGCAGGCGCCTGTAATCCCAGCTACTTGAGAGGTGGAGGCAGGAGAATCGCTTGAGCCCAGGAGTTGGAGGTTGCTGTGAGCTGTGATGCCCCAGCACTCTACCCAGGGCAACAGCTTAAGGCTCTGTCTCAAAAAAAAAGGAAGAAAGTAATTCAAAGAAGAGGAATAGAGGAATGAACAGGTTTTTAGATTGCTTGATAATTCAATTAATGCAGAAAAATGAATCAAACAATGCTAAAAGAAATTTGTTTCCTGGTGATTTGTCAAGATATACTGACAAAGATAGCAAACCACAAGCTGGGTAAAGTGTCATCAGTCCAAAGAGTATATGTGATGAGAAGAAAAACTTGAAATGTTCTAAAATGCTTCAGTTCAGAAATAAAAACTCTGAATCCAAATTTGACAGTTGTAAAAGTTTATGTCCTTTGAGTGATGACTTTTGGGGCTGAAATAAATTACCTTAAATTTTCAATAATAAAAATTTGCAATCGCTTGGCAGAGGAAAGACTACATTATCTTTCTGTACTTGATGTTGAAAATTATGCTACATAATCATTGTCTCGTAAATTAAAAATCAGAGTATATAGCCGAAAATGTCAAGGGAAGACATACTTTAGGAGATGGATTTGGTGGCTGATAAGACATATTGTGTTATTTTTTCCTGAATTTTGTGATATTTGTGGTACTGATCCTTTTTTGTTTTAATTTGTAACTGTTGTACTTTCTCATTCTAAAAGAAATACTAATTTTTGAACCTAATTTTGAATTGTTTTTAAAGAAACCCCCAGAAATCATTTAAGCTTTGTCCCCACATAAACCTGCATCTGCTCATACATGCAAATATTTCCAAGGCAGGAATAGAATCAGGTAGCTCCAGAATGAAGTAGCAGGTAATTTTTTTTTTCTTTTTTTTTGAGACAGAGTCTCAGGCTGTCACCATGAGTAGAGTGCTAAGGTGACCTCAAACTCTTGGACTTAAGTGATTCCCTTACCTCAGCCTCCAAGTAGCTGGGACTACAGATGCCTACCACAACACCTGGCTATTTTTTTGAAGTTGTCATTCTTGTTTTAGCTGGCCCAGGCCAGGTTAGAACCTGCCTGCCTCTGTGTATGTGCCCAGCACCCTACCAACTGAGCTAGGGTGCCACCAGCAGGGAGTTTTTTTGATTGGCATCAGACATTGGCTGAAGGTCTGTGGCCATCGAGTGACTCTGGTATTTCCCTCCCTGGGCTGGTCACCATCCCACTTGCCTCAGGCTAGGCTCAGCCACTTGGGGTTGAGCACCCTTCCCTTCACCCTTGGCACCACCTTCCCTTCACCCTCTGCCTATCTCTGCCTTGCTCCCAGGTCTTCTTGTGGGCACCCTGGACGTTGTGTTGGATTCAAGTGCCCGCGTGGCCCCTTACCGCATCCTGCACCAGACCCAGGATTCGCAGGTCTACTGGACTGTGGCATGTGGTAAGTGTCCTGCGTAAGGGCATTGGGCATGGCTTGGCTAGAGAGGCCAGCACCAAGAGAGAGGGATGTGCAGCCTGTTCCTAGGGAGTGTTGCCTGCTACGTGCCTGGTGGGCACTGCCCCCAGTTCAGAGGAGAGGAGCCGTGGCTTAGGAAAGCTGCTCTGTTGGTCACAGGGACAGGGCAGGCAAAGGCAGCCACATGTGCCTCTGAGGGCTCAGGTTTAGAGTTCACATTTCTTGCAAGGAAGATAGATATAGTCAGGCCTCACTGTTCAGGGTTTCTACATTTCAGAATCACCCGTTGACTAAAATATATTTGTAATCCCGGGTGGTACCTGTGGCTCAAAGGAGTAGGGCGCCAGCCCCATGCACCGGAGATGGTGGGTTCAAACCCTGGCCTGGCCAAAAACTGCAAAAAAAAAAAGAAAGAAAGAAAGAAAGAAAGAAAGAAACATGCATTGTAATCCCCAAATCAGTGCTCTGGTGCTTTTGTGGTCGTTTGGGGACATTTATGGACATGTGCATGTACACAGCAGTAGAAAATTGAATCACCCAACATGCACATCCCCAGCAGAAGTGTGAGGAGGCTACACTCTGCCTTCTTGTCTGAGCTCTCAGGCTGTAAGCAAGTGTCCTTTCATGGTCTATTTAGTGCAACATTTTTTACGTTTTTGTGCCTTTTCTTGGTGATTTTGCTACTTAAAATGGCCCCCAACATACTGCTGAAGTGCCATCTACTGTTCCTAAATGCAAGAAGGCTGTGTTATGCCTCACAGAAAAAATACATGTTAGATAAACTGCCTTCAGGCCTGAGTTATAGTGCTGTTGACCATGAGTTCAATGCTAATGAGTCAATAATATATATTAAATAAAGTATCTTTAAACAGTTATGAATATTGATTAGTTAACAAAAGTGTTGTGACCAGAGGCTCACAGAAAACGAACCCTATATTTCCCTTGGGGTAATGGTTCAGTATTCGCTAATTCAGTGTTCAAGGAACTTTGTAAAATGTTAAGTACGTGAGTAACGAAATTCTCTGTAGTTCTCCTCAGAGGAAGTACACCCACCTGAGAGTCCCTTTTTAGAGGTTCCTATTGGGCTGGGATTGCTTCAATAAAATGATAGTCTCAGCACTTCCTGTGTGCCAGGAGCCTCCTTGCACCTCCTGGCAACTCCTGAGGGCATATATACTTTGGTCTTCTTTACTTCAAAGATCAGGAAACCTTGGCCCAGAGGAATTAAGTAACCTGCTCAAAGTCACACAGGTTGCAATTTAGACACGGAGCACCTGTTCACAGCCATGTTACTGAATACTTTTCTGGGCTAGAAGCCACAGTGTCCTTGTCCTCCAGGATAATGGCTTTCCTTTTTTTTTTTTTTTTTTTTTTGAGACAGAGTCTCACTATGTTGCCCTCCGTAGAGTGCTCTGGCGTCATAGCTCACAGCAAACTCAAACTCTCAGGCTTAAGCAGTTCTCTTGCCTCAGCCTCCCAAGTAGCTGGTACTACAGGCACCCACCAAATTGCCCAGCTATTTTTTTGTTGTCGTTGTCATTGTTGTTTAGCAGGCCCGGGCCAGGTTTGAACCTGTCAGCTCTGGTGTATGTGGCTGATGCCCTAGGCTCTGAGGTACAGGCACCAAGCCAATAATGTCTGTCCTTGGAGGCCTGGGAAAAGATGATAAGACCCAGAGCCTATAGACCTCAGATCTGGACCCCAGCCTTCAGACAAGAGGAGCCAAGTGTATAAAACCCCAGGAACAGCCTGGTGGGTGCTCTGCCCAGGCCTTCAGCAGCAGTGTGCTTTCTCTCACTGTTGGATCCAGTAAGCTTAAGAAGGGTTAGAAAGGAGAGTTTGCCCAAGGCCTAATGGTGAAACCCAGTAGGACCCCCTTATCTCCTGGTTCCAGAGCCTCAGTGGGCCCTGAGGCAGTGAGGATTTGCCTAGTAGGAGGGGCTTACTTTGGGGTGGGGGCCATCCCTGAACAGGCTGAGGAGGACTATGTATGCCTAGAGATTTGCATCTCTGTCTCAGCAGTGTTCTGTGGTTCCTGGGTAGGGGGCAGGGGAGGATGGCAACAAGAGCAGCCCCTCCCTGGGGACGAGTGTGTGGTGCAGAGTGGGAATCTCTTTGGTCACAGCGGTCCTGGCACCAGGAGGAGACCTGGCCACAGCCACACTGCAGAGCAACAGGCCACACACCTCACCTCCCCTACCCCTGCCAAGCCCCAGGCCCTGCCCTGGTCTCGTTTCCCTGCCATCAGGCTGGGCCCCAGAAGCAACTCACCAAAACCAGATGTGGCCCTACCAGCAGCTGCCCAGTGAATCCTGACTCTTGAGCTTGGCGTCTAAGGACTCTAGGAGTCTGACTGCTTCCATTTTTTTGCCTCCTTTGCTTCACACCTAGGCCCTCAGTTAGACCGTACCCCTCCTGCCTTCATGCACAGTGTCCCCCACCATATCCACCTAACCTTTGCTCCCACTTTGTTGAGAACCTGCTTGGACATTACCTCCTAGGAATACCTTCCCAAACTTCCCAGACCTGTGTTCCCATCCTTCCTTCTTATTCGTCCGGACTTGACATGTCTGTACACAGGAGCTTCTAAAGGCCAGAGCAGGCTCTGCAGCCAGGCAGCCTGGGTTAGGATTCCAGTTTGGTCTCCTCCCAGCTGTGTGGCCTTGGGTAACTAACTTCACTTCTCTGTGCCTTAGCTTCATCCTGTAAATGAAATTAATAGCACCTGTCTCCCAAAGTGTTCTAAGAATAAAGTAAGATAATCCATGGAACTGAAAACAGAAATTGCACTTACTCTAATTAGCTATTATATATATATATCTTTTTTTTTTTTTTTTGAGACAGACTCTCACTATGTCACCCTCAGTAGAGTGCAATGGCTTCACAGCTCACAGCAACCTCAGACTCTTGGGCTTGAGTAATTCTCTTGCCTCAGCCTCCCAAGTAGCTGGGACTACAGGCGCCTGCCACAGCACTCAGCTATTTTTTTGTTATAGTTGTCATTGTGGCTTAGCTGGCCTGGGCTGGGTTCGAACCCGCCAGCCTCGGTGTATGTAGCTGGCACCGTAACCACTATGCTAGGGTGCCAAGCCAGCTACTATATTCTTTTCTTCCCCAGTACCTAGCATAAAGATGGCATAATTTCCTTAGTATTAAATGAAGATTGAGTTACTTTAACTGTAATTCTTTTAAGTGCATATATGTAAACATTTATAATTAAAGTACAGCCAGATCTACACAGGCAGTGTAGAGAACTACACTTCTATTTTAGTTTGCCAGGAATGTGTATGATACAGCAGAATTGCATTACTTGTAAATTTAACTTCCAAATTCAACTAGGATTCATGGCAAAAGAGAAACAAGTCCCTTCCACCTATCAACTAGACATTGGCCTCTGTGTAACAAGGAGGGAGGCCATAATAGAACTGCCAAGAAAAATGAAAAAAAAAAAAAAATTAAAGGTAACTTATGATTTAAAGGACTTCTAGTTGCTTCAACCTCTGGGTTGTGTGATCGTCCATAAGTCATTTTTGCCCTCCCTCAGAGCCATCAGAGGAGAATCTTTCCTGTGGAATTGCTTGTCAGGGAGCCACTTAAGGTCATATAAAGAAACAAATCAACCCTAACCAGGACCAGCAAGGCCATGACAGAGCAATGAGAAGGTGCCATGGTTGGAGCAGGTGGTAGGCCAGCTCAGCCTTGCCAGATGGGGTAAGGGCTGAGTTATTAGCTGCATAAGAGTGTTGTCAGGGAAAGACAGATGGCCAGGGGCCGGCACTCCATAGTCAGACTGCATTTGTTTCATGGCTGGGGCTCCCTGTATGCATAACAGGTGCCATGACTGACTTGGCCTTCTAGAGGCTCATGGTCCGTAAACTATCCCACTCCAGGACATCTGAGAACATGTAGACTATTCACTCCTCTTCTTATCCTTGTGTTCATTCATTCAGAAAACAGTTCTTGAGTAAAAAACCCCTGCCAAGTATATGTAGAACCCCAGAAAGTGGGGTGACAAGGGTAGGGGGATCCAGGCCAGGCAGAAATCCCTCATCCCTTACTTTTCCCCTGGGGCCACTTCCCTGATTCCCTATGGGAGCAAAGAGTTCTCTCACACTTTGGGAGTGGCATTTTACAGCCTTCTCAACACTTTTCCATTTCCACTGTGTCTGCAGAGCAGCCACTCACCTGCCCAGCTGGAACCTGCCTGCCAAGGGCCTAGAGTCCTGTAGGAAGCCCCAGCAGGCATTTCTGGACACTTGAGTGATCAGGAAATAGCTGGACTCAGTTATACACAGTATGACTGTGTCTAACTAATCACACGTATATAAAGGCCACAATAAGTTTTTTCAATGTAAAGAAAAGTCTTCATAAGTTAGTAAACTTGCAGATGCATAGACTATTTCTAGGAGGGAACACAGGAAACTAGTAGTGACTGTCACTCTCTACATCAGGGACAGAGGGAGGTTTCATTCCCCCATGGAACTGCCATTTTGAATTTTTCAACTTTTTATTTTTTGAGACAGAGTCTTACTATGTTGCCCTCAGTAGAGTGCAGTGGCCTCACAGCTCACAGCAACCTCAAATTCGAAGGCTTAACACCTCAGCCTCCCAAGTAGCTGGGACTATAGGCACCCACCACAATGCCCAGCTATTTTTGGTTGTAGTTGTCATTGTTGTTTGGCAGGCCTGGGGTGGGTTCAAACTCACCAGCTCTGGTGTATGTGGCTGGCACCCTAGCTACTGGGCTACAGGCACTGAGCCTTCAACTTCTTTTTTATCAGGACCATGTATTACTTTTTTTATATACATGTACATAAAGTTTAAGAAGGAAAAGAGTACCTTGAAGATTCTGGTCATTTGAATATAACAAATTATGTCTTGTGTTCATTTCTTTTTTCTGGGGGGTGGTGGGGCAGAGTCTCACTGTGTTGCACTAGGCTAGAGTGTTGTGGCGTCATAGCCCATAACAATCTCCAACTCCTGGGCTCAACCCATCCTCTTGCCTCAGCCTCCTGAGTAGCTAAGAATATAGGCTTCAGCTACATCCCCCAGCTATTTTTTTTCTTTTTTTTTTTTAGTAGAGACAGGAGTCTTGCTCATGCTCAGGCTGGTCTTGACTCCTGAGCTCAAGCAATACACCTACCTTGGTGTCCTAGAGTGTTAGTTAGGATTACAGGTATGAGCCACCGCACCCAGCCTAGGTCATGCATTTTTTTTTTTTTTTGAGACAGAATCTCAGGCTGTTGCCCTGGGTAGAATGCCATGGCATCATAGCTCACAGCAACCTCCAACTCTTGGGCTCAAGTGATCCTCTTGCTTCAGTTTATCTATTAGTAGAGATGGGGGTCTCGCTTTTGCTCAGGCTGGTCTTGAACTCATGAGCTCAAGCTTTCCACCTACCTCAGGCTCCCCAGAGTGCTAGGATTACAGGCATGAGCCACCATGCCCAGCCTTAGGTCATACATCTTAATATTTCTTCTTTAATTTGTATTTAAGGGATGGTGATTTTATGATTTTTCTTTTCTTCACCAAACCTCTCCTAGGTTCTTCCCGCAAAGAGATCACAAAACACTGGGAATGGCTGGAAAATAACTTGCTCCAAACACTGTCCATCTTTGACAATGAAGAAGATATCACCACTTTTGTCAAGGGCAAAGTACACGTAAGGTTTATGTTCACTTAACAGTTCTCATTCCCCTTCTCTGGCTAACAGTATTTATATGTATTATCTTATTTAATCTTCAGCAACATAGCATAGATTTTCTCTCCATTTTATGGAGATAGAGACTAAAGTGCCGGCTCTCATTCTTTTGGATTTGAAAGAGACAGTTGAATTCATTGCAGTAATGCTCCTTTCTACTCAGGCTGGCTGCTTGTGCCTGACTGAAGCTTACCTTAGAGTTTCTCTTTCTGGTAAAGTGCCTTGGAACACACATGCAGACATAGAACTCCATTTGCTACTGTGTTTCCCTGAAAACAAGACCTACCCAAAAAATAAGCCCTAGCAGGATTTCTATGCATTTGTTAAATATAAGCCCTACCCCATAGTAATGCTTTTTGGTGTGAAGAGGAAAACATCCCCTGAAAGCCCTAGGATGTCTTCTTGAGAAAAAATAAATATAAGACAGTGTCTTATTTTCAGGGAAACAATCGTAGTTCCTTTGGCTAACAGAAAAAGAAGTTAGGCTCAGCGCCTATAGCTCAGCGGCTAGGGTGCCAGCCACATACACCCAGAGCTGGTGGGTTTGAACCCACCCCAGGCCTGCCAAACAACAATGACAACTACAACCAAAAAAATAGCTGGGCATTGTGGTGGGTGCCTATAGCCCCAGCTACTTGGGAGGCTAAGGCAAGAGAATTGCGTAAGCCCTAGAGTTTGAGATTGCTGTGAGCTGTGATGCCATAGAACTTTACTGAGGGCAACATAGTAACAGTCTGTCTAAAAAAAAAAAAAATCAGAAAAAGAAGGTAGAAGTGTTAGGATATTTTGAGGTATGTGAGGTGTGTTTTTATTATAAAACTAACATTAAGCCAGGTGGAGTGTGGCTCATGTGTAATCCCAGCATTTTGGGAGGCTGAAGTGGGAGGATCCCTTGAGTCCAGCAATTCAAAACCAGCCTAGGCAACATAGCGTAATCTCATCTCTACAAAATATTTTAAAATCAACTGGGCATAGTAGCACGCACCTGTAGTCCTAGCTACGTGGGAGGTTGAAGCAGGACGATTGTTTGAACCCAAGAATTCAGGGCTGTAGTGAGCTATGATTGCACCTGTAAATAGATACTGTATTCTAGCCTTGCAAACATAGTGAGACCCTGCTTAAAAAAAGAAAAGATTAAAAAAAATTTACTTAAAAAGGACATACCCAGGTTTGGTGCCTGTAGCTCAGTGACTAGGGCACCAACCATATACACCAGAGCTGGCAGGTTCGAACGCAGTCTAGGCCTGCCAAACAACAATGACAACTCCAGCCAGAAAATAGCCAGGCATTGTGGTGGGCTCCTGTAGTCGCAGCTACTTGGGAGGCTGAGGCAAGAGAATTGCTTAAACCCAAGAGCTTGAGGTTGCTATGAGCTGTGACACCACAGCATTCCACCCAGGTGACATAGTGAGACTCTGTCTCAAAAAAAAAAAAAGGGGGCACATACCCTTTACCCAGCAGTTCTGTTCCTTAGAGTTTACCTTCCAGTGTATTCACATATGCAAAATGACACTTGTATCAAGATCTCTCCTGCAAAGCTGTATTAGCAAAAGACTGGAAAGTATCTCTTGGTCCCATGATAAGAAGGGAAAGGCAGCTGTTCTTTCCCTTGCAAAATGAGAGGAATAACACTTGTTTGCATTTATTGAGTACTTTCTGTATGTTTGCTGCACCAAGTGCTGTATACTCAGATTTGTTAAGTCATATATGGTATATTTAATGGCATATTTCACAGTGATCAGAATAATGATTATAAGAATTACAGTGATATGTAAAGCTTACAAATGACATTTAGGTTGGTTCCTCTGTGAGGGGTAATTAGCACTGTACCAGCATAAACACACATGACAGGTATGTGTTTCTGTTAGATTATTGCCTTAAGTTAGATTCCTGGGAGAGCTCTTATTCTTGTCTCCCTCTTTATAAGGACTCTTACCATTATATTGGGTTCATGCAAATGATCCAGAATCATCTTCCCCTTCCAAAATTCTTAATCTCATCTGCAGAGTCCCTAATCACATCTACAAAATCCCTTTTGCTAAATAAGGTAAAATATTCCTAGATTCTGGGAATTAAGATGTAGACATCTTTGTGGGGGGCATTGTTTGGCCTGCCACATCATATAACTTACATAAACAGAGTCTCAGGAAGAAATAGGAAATGTGAAAATGCCTAAAACTATTAAAGAAATTGAATCTGTAATTTAAAATCTGCCTAGAGGGATGCAGTGGCTCACATCTGTAATCCCAACACTCTGAGAGGCCAAGGTAGATGGATTGCTTAGCTCATAAATTCCAGACCAGCTTGACCAAGAGTGAGACCCTGTCTCTACTAAAAACAGAAAAACCAGATAAACACCTTGGCAGGCATCTGTAGTCCCAGCTACTTAGGAGGCTGAGGCAGGAGGATCGCTTGATGTGTAAAAGCTTACATGACACTGAGGTTGGTTGAGCCCAGGAGTTTGACGTTGCTGTGAGCTAAGATGCCATGGCACACTAGCCTGGGTCAACACAGTGAGACTCTGTCTCAAATAAATAAATAAATAAATAAAATCTAGCCAGTAATCTTTTATAGGTAGGTTCTGTCCACCAACAAACAGAAAATTCCAACCCCGTGAACCAGGCTGGACAGTCTGCAGTAGTGCTCCTGGCTCTACTTAGAAATAGAAGGAATCAGAGCAGACCCCACATATGGGTCCTCACCTGGGCTCGTGGCTGTCCTCCCTACCCACGGATAGAGGGGTGTAAGGCCACCCAGCAGCCCAGCAGAAGCAGCAGGCTGAAACACCTGCCAGACCAAGCACTGGCCTTGAAGAGTTTAGTAATTATCCTTCAAGAAAATCAGCAGGAAGGGGCAGGAGTTGAAGTTAGTTGGTCCCTACTGTCCCCCATGAGATGTGTGGCCCCTTCCCCCCAACTTTTGTTCATGTTTCTTAAAGGCATTTTGGTTTTTTAAAATCTGTACAGCAAGAGCAACTTTTTCTGTCAAATAAAAATGAGAAATGCAGGGGAAAAAAAAAAGAAAAGAAAATCAGCAGGAACATTTTGAGCTGAGTACACTGAAGACCTATTTTACCCTGGGAGGTTTGGGGCTGGCTCTAGGGTCCCAGGGGTGTCTCTGGGCACCCTGAGCTCTTCAAAACTGCTCTCAGCACAAGGGAGTGTGGATGGACCCTGAACTGGGTGGGCCCATGCTGATGTGTGCTCAGGGTAAGAGGCAGGAGCCCTGAATATACAGGGGGCCAAGTGTAGAACATCCTTTAGGAAATGGTGAGAAAAGCACTTCACAGAACAGGGCCATGGGATGACCTCATCTGGGCAAAGAAAAGGGAAGTAAGAATAATGCATGGGGCTCAGTGCCCATAGCACAGTGGTTATTGCATCAGCCACATGCACTGAGGGTGGCGGGTTCAAACCTGGCCCGGGCCAGCTAAACAACAATGACAACTACAACCAAAAAATAGCCAGGCATTGTGGTGGGTGCCTGTAATCCCAGGTACTTGGGAAGCTGAGACAAGAGAATTGCTTAAGCCTAAGAGTCTGAAGTTGCTGTGAGCTGTGATACCATGACACTCTACCTAGGGTGAAAACTTGAGACTCTGTCTCAAAAAAACGAAAAAAAAAAACAATGTCTGGATTTGCTTATAGATGCTCCTGGAGTCTGCATGTCTGGGGGGAGATAGGAAGGTGGCTGAAGAGGGGATATACTTTCCACTGAATATACTTTTATACTGTTTGCACTTTTTACCATATTTATGGATGGAATGTTTTAACAATTTTGCATAAAAATAAAATATTCATTTCAAAATTCATTGCCCAGAGCCAGTGATGACAGTAGTTCAGGGAGTTTGGGGAACTTGCCCCGAGTGACACAAGCTGTGTCTGTTGTCCATGTGCCTTGACTATAAACCACCCAGGGTCCTCAGCCAAGGCCCAGGTCCCGGAATCTCTGGGCTTCTCTGCTCCACCCTTTGGCCTGCTCAGGAGTGTGCTGGGCAAGCCCGGCCTCATCCCTTCCTCCAGGGCATCATCGCAGAAGAGAACAAAAACCTGCAGCCCCAGGGAGACGAGGACCCTGGGAAGTTCAAGGAGGCTGAGCTGAAGATGCGGAAACAGTTTGGGATGCCTGAGGGCGAGAAGCTGGTCAACTACTATTCCTGCAGCTTCTGGAAGGGCCGAGTGCCCCGGCAGGGCTGGCTCTACCTGACGGTCAACCACCTGTGTTTCTACTCCTTCCTGCTGGGGAAGGAAGGTGAGTGCTGCCTGGCTTCCATCACCCTGGGCCCCTCTATTCCTACTCAGCTCCCAGGCACTTGGTCCCCACATGGTCTCCAGAGGGATCTCCCCAGAACCCAGAATGGATGGCCAGCATATACCTGCTCTTGGTGGGCTCTTGCTGTGTCCACTACTCACTGGTAGGATTCTTCACGTGGTGACCTTTGCAGGCCTGCCCTCTTCTAAACTGGTATATTCAGGCAGCACCTATAGCTTAGTGGGTAGGGTGCCAGCCACATACACCAGGGCTGGAGGGTTTGAACCTGGCCTGGACCAGCTAAAATCAACAATGACAACACGCAACAACAACAACAAAAATAGCTGGGCATTGTGGTGGGTACCTGTAGTCCCAGCTATTTGGGAAGCTGAGGCAAGAGAATTGCTTAAGCCCAAGAGTTTGAGGTTGCTGTGAGCTATAACACGACAGCATTCTACCGAGTGCGACATAGACTTTGTCTCAAAAAAACGTAAAAAAATAAAAATAAACTGGTAATTCAGGGCACTTCTGCCTTGAGTGATTCAGTTCATGCGGGGCCTTGAGCACATACTGCACCCATGACCTGCACCCATGACCCACTGTGTGACTCATAGCCTTGGGGTATGAACCAGGCTTCCACCATAGTCTCACCTCAGAAAGGGTCCCCAGCACCTTGATCCCAAACCAGCAAGCCCACTCTCCACTAGCTTCCCTCAGTGCACAGCCTCCTGGTGCCCCTTTCCACCATTGCCATAAACCTGTCAAAACTGGATGGCCAGTTCTCTCCCCACTAGCAGAGGCTGGTGTCTTCTTGTCTTCTGTGTGGGTTACCGCTTGCTGTGACTCTGTTCACACATTGGTGTGCTTCCCTCAGTACAGCTGCTCTAGGCATGCAGGAAATGCTGCCTTAGGGAGTGGCTCCCTTGGGGTGGTCCTGGGTGTGGATGGGGGCCAAGAGCCTTGCCTTGCCCGGTTCTTTTTTTTTTTTTTTGAGACATTTTTTTGGGCAGGCCTGGGCTGGATTTGAACCCGCCAACCTTGTGTGTATGTGGCTGGCACCTGAGCCACTTGAGCCACAGGCGCTGAGCCTATTTATCTGTTTTTTGAGAGTGTCTCACTTTGTCACCCTGGGTAGAGTGCCATGGAATCATAGCTCACAGCAATCTCAAACTCTTGGACTCAAATAATTCTCTTGCCTCAGCTTTCTGAGTAGTGGGACTACAGGCGCCTGCCACCCCCGGCTATTTTTAGAAATAGGGTCTTGCTCTGGCTCAGGCTGGTCTCAAACTCCTGAGCTCAAGCAATCCACCCACCTTGGCCTCCCAGAGTGCTAGGATTATAGGTGTGAGCCACCACATCTAGCTATCCTTTCTGATTCACTCACACCAACTTCCACTTTCTCACTTTGGTGTTGCTGGGTTTATATATTTCTGTCCATGTGGATTTTACACTGCCTGATTCTTGTCTATCTCAAAACTTTCATAATAATCAACATAACACAAATAATGTTTTTATGAACGAGCTGCATTATCCAAATAAATTAGAGTGGAATCAACATATCTTCCAGGTATCACTTCATTCACTTGGCTTGTCTCTAGGATTTTTCTGAGTAGAAAGTAGCAAAGTTATTGGTACTATTCTCCAAACCCATATAACTCACATCCACTATCATCTACATGACAGCCAAGGTGATATATGTGCACAAAGATGCACATAAATGTCATTCATCGTGTCAGAAAAATACTTAGAACCACTGTGATAAATTAATAAAATCTATAAACATTTTATTTATTTATTTTTTGAGATAAAGCCTCAAGTTGTCACCCTGGGTAGAGTGCAGTGGCGTCACAGCTCACAGGAACCTCCAACTCCTGGGCTTAAGTGATTTTCTTGCTTTAGCCTCCCAAGTAGCTGGGACTACAGGCACCTGCCACAATGCCCAGCTATTTTTTGGTTGTAGTTGTCATCGTTGTTTGGCAGGCCCAGGCTGGATTCGAACCTGCCAGGTCTAGTGCATGTGGCTGGCGCCTTAGCCACTTAAGCTACAGGCGCCGAGCCTATAAACAGATTTTAAAATCTGTTCAAAATTCCAAGCAAGTCAGTTTCTTCTACATTACCTTTGCTAAGAGTAACAAAGCAGGCTCGGCGCCTGTGGCTCAAGCGGCTAAGGCGCCAGCCACATACACCTAAGGTGGCGGGTTCGAATCCCCAGCCCG